CTAAAATAGAGTTTATCTAATTGGTATGTCTAAAAGAAACACATCAAGGGATTTAATACATCAAATTTTAATTATGAAACATCTAATAAAGCCACAATGCACTCAAATATTCATTTGATTCTTCTTATCATGCAAACTTTCTGAAGTCAGATAAAAATAAACTAAAGTTCCAGAAAGTTGACACTTGTTTTCCAAAGCATAAATGTCAATTACAAGTCTCTAAATCAGTTGGGTGAAAGAAGAAAGGATTGAAAAGGCAAAGAGAAGAAAGAAGGTTGCTTCATACAATATTTGACATAACAAGAAAACATGTACTGTAAGACTTGTAGCTGAGTCTTCTTTATTGAAAATATTCTAAGTTTCAATATGAAAGGCAGTATTATGCATTCATGAATTCAAGAACAGAAGGCAGGTGACTTCTCCATGGGAGAGTATATCTTTGTAATTATTTTTGGCACAACAGTTTGAGAGCATTTTGGATGTGTTTAATGTGTACTTATTAAGCATAATGAAAATACATACAATTGAAGATCATAGACATTAGAAAAGGAACGAGGTTGTAACTGCACTCATTTCCTCATTTAAGGAGTTCTCTGAATAAATATACCCTCAAGATAATCTTTTCTAGGACTTCTTACATTTATACATACACATTTGTGATTTTTAAAAGGAGGCTTTACAGGAATATTTTAGCACAGCAAAAATGCTTGTTTGTGGAAGGCAAAAGGGGGTAACGGGGTAAATGGTGAAAGGAGGAGACTTGACTTGGGAGGATGAGCATCCAATACAATATGCAGAGGATATTTTATAAAATTGTACACCTGATAAATAGAAAAATAAATAAAAACATAAAAATAGAATGCTCTCTGTTCATATGTCACCTCCTTCTGTTAGGCACTTTATTCAGATATATACCAGGATATACTACACAAAATAAGACAACAACAAAAATCCAAAGACCCCGATCTGTTATTCAGATGAAAATCCCAAGAATGTCCTTTACATCCAATATTTCAGGGGAAGACAGTAGGCGTTTCTGAAAACAGATATTCCTGGATGGTGCTTTCAGGAATAAGCACTTTGTAAAAAGTATCACCATATCTAAGCTTCAAAAGAGTGGTCATAAGTTTAACATGTACCTCAGAGAAAATATACCATTATGATTATCATTAACATTTCATCAATAGATATCCTGAATGATAGTCTTCCTATTAACCACACCCAGTTTAAGTAAACTGTAACAAACCACAGTCTAATCTAAATTTAAGTATTTTGCATTACATATAATAACTAAAATCTATTCAAATATATTTTTGATACCACATAGAGGATGTGACTTGTTTCACTGCATTCAATCATGGTGATAGAAGAACTTAGAATTTCAAAAAGAAATGAATTCACAGATAGACTGTTTTCTTGATGAATACTTCAATGATTGTAACAAAGTTTTACCATGAACATATCAACAACTGGTAACATTGTGTGTATCTGTGTGTGTGTGTGTGTGTGTGTGTGTGTGTGACACAGTGATTTTAAAAGTCATCATACAGCCATATTATTTTAGTATTCTGATAGGGAAAGGTGTAAATATCCTAAAATGTAGGAGGATGCAAATTTATTTTCTAAAATTAGAGACTTTTGCCATTAAACACTGCAATTCTTGCTGTCATTTTTCTTATCTTTAGCCTTGGATTTAAAGTGACATAAACTATCTCAAATCAATTATTCACATTCTAATTAGTATGTAAGGCAGTATGCTATTTTTCATACCAAGTTTCCAAAAAGAAGAGAGATGCAACAGATAAGACATTTGCATGATTTCACTTTGAAGACAGGAGCTAAAGTTCGCTCCAGGATTTCCAGTTTGCTGATCTATGAAAATTGCTTGCTGGTAAAATGCTTTATTTATTTCTCAAGTATCCTATTAAGTATTTATTATAAGAATTTCTAATAACAACTGTTTTCTAAATATATGTAATCATTCTCTTTTGCACAGTTTAACATTATATGTTCAGATTCTACAGACATGGGATTTGAACATGACAAATGTATACACTACTTTAAATATATAACTGAAGAACTATACTTATAAGATATTGAAATGTTAAATTAATATAAGGTGTATTTACATCAGAACTCCAAAAGAAGAAACTTTTACTACAGCAGAAAGGAACTGTGGCTTTTCTCCTTTCTCTAACAAAGTTACAAAATAGTCTCACTCAATAGTGTTATGTGCTACTTTTAAACAACTCTATTAAAACAAAAATGTGGATTAAGAGATCTTACTCTTAGAATAAAAGAGCAAGAACTAAAGCTGAAGTATCACAGAATTTAGTGAGAGTGAGTTAAACCAACTAATGATATTTCAGTCCATTGTCCCATATAAATTGTATCTCAGTGTGTGAAAATAATTAATGTCATTGATGTAAAGGTCAATTTGAAACTATTCTGAGCACTAAATTTGAAAAATAAATAAATAAACATGCTATAAGAGCAGCTACATGTTTTAAAAAAATAAATTTATCTTTATGAATATGTGAGTTTAATATTTATGCTGATGAAAAATTCAATAAATGTATGTTAACCTGAAAGCTTAGGGGATGTGTATTGCTGGTTATTAAAAAAAAAAAAAAGATGTATAACTAGAGTTTTTAGTTTCATGCTTCACAATTCATTAATAAAGACAGCAAACATAAACTCATCTACACCAAGAAACTTTTACTTAAATGCCCAAAGGTCTAGGATACAGAAGGTAGTGACCAATTGATTTTAGGGAGAAAGACTAAACATTATGTAATGTGAAGGCAATTCTGACTTGTCTAACAACGTGCCCGTGGCAGAATGAATGAACATCAATTTTTCACATACCACTCAGTTCATAGGAGAAACTATTCAAACCTTGAAAAAAATCATTCAAATTCAATAGAAAAATATAAAAGAAGACAAAATAAATCAAGCTTACAAAGTGCCTATGCCTATTAATTTAGATATTTTTAAATAGTGCAAATGTAATTTAACTCCAATGTGTAAATATTAAAGAGAACAAACCAGTGAGTCAAAGTATAGTGTCTAGATAAAAGAAAACAAATTAGCATTTTAGTAAAAACCAGTCAGTAAGAATATTATCCTGTAGGTAGAAGCGCCTAATCAGTAAATTAGGCACAGAGCCATGAGGATGATGAGTTGTCTTCTCACATCCAGTCCCTGTGGGTCAGTCGGGCTTGTGGGAGATGAATGACCATAGAGGGAGAAGAAGGACACTTTTTGACCATGTGACAGAAATTATTCTAGATTTTGGAAGATAAACATCATATTCTATCTTAAACAGAACTAAACAATGTAGAAACTATAAAGTACTTCTCCCTTTACCCTGTGAATTATGAAAGCACATATACTGCAACACAGTATCCAATCCAGATTTCTACAGAAAGGGTTTTGGATGACAGCCACAGAGATTATTAAAGGTTGAAAAATAATACCTATGAGAAAGGTGGAACATCATAGGTTTCCAAGACAAAATGAGCTTGAAAAAGAAGACTTTGATGGATTTAAGTTTGCTATAAGGAAGATTCTGACACTGGTTTGTTTAACATTAAGGTGGTTTGCTGAGACTGCAGAAACTCCAATCCTGAGAATCTTTAAAAATAGAAAGAATTCCGACCAGCTGTTCAGGATTAAATATGGGCTTTTTTTCAACTGAAACTCTTCCAGACTCTTCCAACCCCATGAATTTAACTGGAAATACCAATACAAACAGTATATTCCATCTAACACTTCTGATTCAGTACCATACAGCAGCTGGGAGGGGACAAGATGATTGCACAGACCTACTTTTACTGTGCGTGAAAGCATGTGAGGCAATACTTTGTTGTAATTAGGAGTCCCGGTGATATCTTTGGGTACTTACACTTTCTAATTTTAGATTTCTCATGCAAATCACATATAGCACTTAATCAAAGGTTTTTATAATATATCACACTTTTGAATAATTCATGCTAATGAAGCATTAAACCATGATGGAAAGCCTCCCAAAAATAAATAAAAATCAGGCAACTTAAGTTTTCCTTCTTTATATCATAATGATTTAAAATAGTGGTTTTTATATTAAACTAGAAAAATTGTTGTTTAAGTTTAGACATTTAATCACTAATAATCCAAAATTTTAAAAAATATATCATGACACATATAAGTTTCCATGAAATACATCTGAATCCTTAAAACATTAGTCTGTATATATAGTACATACCAAGAAATGAATTAGTAATATATTAAAGTCACAGAATCTGGTCAAGATTATTTTACAAAAATACTAGAATAAATCAAATAGTAAACCAAATTAAATTGTTTACCAAATTAAATAGCAATCACTCAAATTGCATGTGAATACACTTGTATATAACAACAAACTAATCAATTCATACTTCCATAAAGAACTCTTTGGCTTTCCCTAGAGAACCTACATAGTTAAGCATTAGATTTAATCAAGTTTCCACATCCAACACTTTTTCTTTTGCCAGTACCCTGGTGCAAAATATTTAAAAGGTGATTTTCTTATAAGGTAATAGCAGTATTATTAAACTAATCCCAACTGCTGACTCCACAAAGCGTGGTTTTGACGTGCCACTCAAACTTTCTACACTGCCCCAATCAGCAGATTCATAACTTGATACAGTGCACAGGAGCTACCCTCACAGCCCCTCGGTTAACTGCACTCAGTCAATATTTGCATCTGTAGCACTATAAATGCTAACGACTGTGTTGAAAATACACATGTAAACACACCACTCACTGTGTAAGTCAATAAATTGTATAAACAGACATAATATATCTATAAATTAAAAGTCGTTATCCACCACCCACTCAGTGTACCAGGACAGCATCTCTTTTTGTTTACATTGATTTTGAACGCGAGTATGGTGTGTGTGTGTGTGTGTGTGTGTGTGTGTGTGTGTACGCGCAGTGTGAGTGCGTGTGCACGGGCCCGGGCGCGCGCAGGTTACCGGAGAGGGAGATCCGTTCTTGCAGAGGGGCCCTCGGAAGACTCCTTTAATGCCCCGGTAGTGCCCATTGCTGAGATGTCTCGAACTGATGACCAGGTAACAAGCCATGTGGGTCCGGGCAGGAGGTGCAGAGTCTCAACTTCTCACCAGGCGACTAGTCACAGAAATGCGGCTGGTTTCTCAGCAGCAACAGTAACTGCCACCTCCCGAGAAGAAGCGGCCAGCAGTAGGCAGGGGACGCGGCAGACGCGCGTCCCCGCTCCTGGCCCCGCGCGGGGCTCCTGCAGCCGGGAAGGGCTGCTCGGACGGTGGCGGCAGCCACAGAGCACTTAGGGGACCCAGCGAGCCAGTCCACATGCTGCTCTGGCGAGGTGGCTGCTCAACCGCGGGCCAGCGAGATATTTTTTTAAGGACAAGTTCCTAGGTCCTCCAGGGAATCAGGAACTCCCCTCCCGGTCCTCCCGCCCCCGCCTGCGCAGCGAGTGCAAGCCCAGGGATGCTCAGGCGTTGGTCCCCAGCGTCTGGCGGGGGCCTCGGCGGGCTGAGCGGTGGGCTGCTGCGTCCAGGATCCACCAGCAGCAACCTGTGTGGGGAGAGGGGAGGGGAGTCCTTGGAAGCGCCAAATCGCTGCAGCCACGGCAGTGGCAGCGGAGGAGGTGGAGAAGGCGACAGGATGGCAGAAAAGGATAGGGAGTTGGGGATGCTGAGACTGGGGAGCAGAGCTTTCAGTGCCAAAGCTCCGGCGCTGGGCTCGGGGTGCACCGGGCCAGGCGAGGAGGTGACAGCTGCGGCCGTGGCGGCGGGAGGCTCTCCGGACTGCGGGCGCCGCTCCAGCACCCTGCCATCGGTGCCCACCCTCTGGTCCTTGCGCTCAGTCTCTGGGCCAAGTTTGCACTGTTTGGAGGAGGGTCCGGATGACTAGAGAGTTCCGCGCAGAAGGGGAGTGTTTTCTTGACTCTAGCTGCCTGTGCACCCTCGCATTTCCTAAGCGCTCAGGCTGACTGTGGTGTCGGCAGAAGCAACTGCTCCCTGTCTGCTGGGAGGATGAGTTGTGCGGCCCCAAAATAGGGCAGACAAATCAGATGTGCTGTGGCAGGTAATGGGTGGAGGAGGAAGCAAGTTTTAGATAGAAAACTTATATAAGGAACAGAAACGAAACATGCGTACGTGTGTATATGTCCAGAGTTGTATTCACTTACAAATCATTCTGTATCTTTAGGACGCTTCTGTCTTCACAATCCCCAAAGGACCCCCCAGAAATGTTTTCGAATGGACATTGTATCATTTACTCTAAATCAAGCCACCAGGGCGCGAGCTGCCCTGAGGATAAAAGTGTGTGCAGATAGGCGCCCTGAGAAGAAAAGGAAGCCCTTCCAGAGTCAGGAGAAAGCCCTCCCCTACCCCTGGCTGACCTATTGGGGCTCTGTAATCCCTCTCACCCGCCTCTCCAGGCCTGTTCTGGGGAGATAAAGAGTGGCCTCCATGAACATAAGGGTGCATATAACTTTGCGAATACACGTTTTCGAGTTTTTCTGGTAGATATCCAGGAGAGGGATTGCTGGGTCATATGGTAACTCTATTTTCAATTTTTTGAGAAACCACCAGATTGTTTTCTATTGTGGCTCTACCAGTCTCCACTCCCACCAGCAGTGTCTGAGGATTCCTTTTCCTCCACCACCTCTCCAAAGCCTATTACCTGTCTTGCTGACAACAGCCATTCTAACAGGTGTGAGGTGGTATCTCATTGTAGCTTTTGATTTGTATTTCCCTAATAGCTAGTGAAATTGAACATCTTTTCATATATCTGATGGCCCTTTGTATATTTTCTTAGGAGAGGTGCCTGTTAGGTCCTCTGCCCGTTTTTTTTTTTACATTGGATTGTGTGTTTGTTTGGTGTTGAGTTGTACTAGTTCTTCACATATTTTGCACTTTAACTTCTTGTCTGAGCTGTTGTTCACAAATAACAATTCCCATCAGGTTGGTTGCCTTCTTGTTTTATTGGTGGTTTCTTTTGCTGTGCAGAAGCTTTTTAGTTTGATATAGCATCATTCATTTATTTTTGCCTTTATTTCCCTTGCCTTTGGAGTCAAATTTATAATTTTTTTCTATGGACCAAGGTCTATAAGTTTAGTACCTATGTTTTCTTCTATGTAATTTATTGTTTCAGATCTCATATTTAGGGTTTTGATCCATTTTGAATTAATTCTTGTACAAGGGAACAAACTGTAATCTAGCTTCATTCTTTTGCATGTGGCTTTCCAATTTTGTCAACACCATTTATTGAAAAGGCTTTCTTTTCTCCATTGTGTGTTTTTTGCTCCTTTGACAGCATTATTCATGGTGGCCAAGACATGGGGACAACCAAGGTGTCCTTCGATAGATGACGGGATAAAGAAGATGTGGTACATATACACAGTGCAATTCTACTCAGCCACAAGAGAAGATGAAATACTGCCATTTGTGACAACACGGATAAGCCTTGAGAATATCATGCTACGTGAAATAATTCAGCCAGAAAAAGCTAAGGACCGTATGATTTTACTCATATGTGAGATACAAAACTGAAACTCAGAGACACAGACTGACCACAGTATGGTGGTTACCAGAAAGGAAGGGTAAGAGGGAGGTAGAGAGGGTAAAGGGGGCCAAATATTTATATGGTGGTGGAAGATGATCTGACTGTGGGTGATGGGTACACAATGCAATATGCAGATCATGCCCTGACCGGTTTGGCTCAGCGATTAGAGCATTGGCCTGCAGACCAAAGAGACCTGGGTTCGGTTCCTACTAAGGACACATACCTCAGTTGCAGTTTGTCCCTGCCCCGGTTGGGGTCACGTGGGCGGTGACCACTAGATGTGTTTCTCTCACATCTATGCTTCTCTCTCTCTCTCTTCTCCCCTCTCTCCCTCCTGCTCTATCTGAGGATAAATGCAAGAGTGTCCTCAGGTAAGGATATATATATATATGCAGATCATGTATCATAGTAATATACACTTGAAACCTATATGACGTTATTAATCAATGTCCCCCCAATATATTTAATTAGAAATATAAAAGGTGGCCTCCTTTTCCTCTTTTGCCTAAGTATAGACATTAGATCTAATCTATACAATGAAAACAGTGTATTTGCAAATACTAAAATTTCAAAATCAGTGGAAGGCTTTGACAAAAAATAAATAAAGAAGATAGTGTGTCTCAGTCAATAACCACCATTTCTTCATAAATGTAAGTAGCAAAGAGTATTGAAAATCTAAGTGTTAGTATCCTCAAATAAACTTAAAAAATGAATGATGTCACACGCTGTGAATAACAGTTCCAAGGATAGTATGCCCTTTTCATTAAGTAAGTATAATTCCCAATAATGCTTAATTATTTTTAAAAATCAGGTATATGTTTCTAAAATGAAAAGACTGACTTAAGTAATTGAAATGAATACAATTAAAATATATTATTCTGTTGTAGTATATTTTAGAAGTAATCATGGTTATTCATGTTTTTCTGTTTAATTTTGCATTAATCTTTATTATTTTTTTTATTGTTGAAAGTATTACAGATGTCCCTCCTTTTTTCCCCCACTGACACCCTCCTCCCCACTCCCTTCCCACCCTCCTCCCTTCCTTCACCACATTGTTATCTGTGTCCATTGATTATGCACATACACATATTACTTCTTTGGTTTATCTTTTCCCACCCCCAATCCTCATTCCCTCTGTCAATCTGTTCCCCACTTCCATGTCTTTGGATCTATTTTGCTCATCGGTTTATTTTGTTCATTAGATTCCACATATAAGTGATATCATATACAAGAATAAACTAAAAATGGATAAACTACTTAAAAGTAAGTCATGAGATCATAAAAACCCTAGAAGAAAATCTAGGCAGCAAAATCTCAGACAACACATGTACAAGAAATTTCACTGATACATCACCAAGTGCAAGAGAAACAGAGGAAACAATTAATAACCAGTACTCCATCAAACTAATGAGCTTCTGCATGGCAAAAAAAACCATCATCAAAATGAAAAAGGAACCCAATGTATGGGAGAACATATTTGCCAATGATACATCGGATAAGGGGTTAATTTCCAAAATATATAAACTACTCATACAACTCAACAAAGACAAACAATCCAAGTAAAATATGGGCAGAGGACCTGATAGACACTTCTCCAAAGAGGACATACAAATGGCCAAGGGATATATGAAAAAATGCTCAATGTCACTAATTATCAGAGAAATGCAAATTAAAATGACTATGAGCCCAGCTGGTGTGGCTCAGTGGTTGAGCATCAAACCCATGAACCAAGAGGTTGCTGGTTCAATTTCCAGTCAGGGCATATGCCCAGGTAGTGGGCCTCATCCCCAGTGTGGGACATGCAGGAGGTGGCCAATCAATATTCTCCCTCATCAATGTTTCTATCTCCCTCTCTCTCTCCCTTCCTCTCTCTAAAATCAATCAATCAATAAATAAATAAAACTACAAGGTATCACCTCACACCTGCCATAATGGCTGCCATCAACAAATCATCAAACAAGAACTGGCAAGGATGTGGAGAAAAGGGGACTCTGGCACACTGCTGGTGGGAATGCAGACTGGTGCAGCCACTATGGAAAACAGTATGGAGTTTCCTCACAAAACTAAAAATGGAGCTGCCATTTGTCCCAGTGATCCCACTTCTAGGAATATATTCTAAGAAGCCTGAAACACTAATCAGAAAGAATATATGTTCTTAGCAGGGATAGTTACAATAGCTAAGATCTGGAAACAGCCCTTGTGTCCATCTGTAGTATTGATTTTATTCAAAGTATTTGTTGAAGTACTTTTTAGCTATCTTGGCATTCTTGTTCACTTGACTGATAGGCAGCTGAGTTTTCCCCTAGGAAACAATTCCTTTTTATAGTAATGTTTCAAAGACTGTAGTAATTTTCCTACATTTCTTTAAAATTATTTAATTTTTGAGATCTTTCTTCTTTAGAAATGAATAATATCAATTCTATTAATTTGCCATATTTTAAATTAGTTATGGTTGTTCTTTGCTTGCTTTTTTTTTCTTGCTATCCATCTTTAAATATGAAGGCAAAAAAAAGGCACATTTGCTATTCTC